AGCTATTGACGGGTGCAATAAGGGCAGAAAAATAACAATGTTTTTGGCTCTTACTCGTATTTAGCCAGATTCACTCTTTTTCTTTCTCCATCGGTACTCTAGGTACTTCATCTCCCAGAGCTCTTTGGAAAACTAAGGTGCCCCTTGGGATCGGTGCACAGAGAGACGCCATATAGGAGCAGTGCTATAGTCCATATGACAACATTGCACTGGAACCCCTACTTTGTGTGCCTGTGCCATCTCAGCTGCTGGTGCTTACTGAGGAAATCACCTTTTGGGAGGATGAATATGTTATCACTGTTTTTGCATGTGTTCTACCCAATTTTTAACATGAAACTAGCTTTTAAATATAGTAGTTTTCTATCAAACCTGTATTTGCTGTAAAAAAAATTGCAAAAGAGATTTTGCACAAACAAAACTGCATTCCAGCTGTTTATTAGTATGGATAGAATAAATTAGATTGATAAATGGAAGCCGAAGGACATTTTCTCAGGAACTGGCTGGAATAGCTGCTTCATCACAAACAGCAACACCAAAGCCTGGGGAATAGATATTTTCCATCACTGACTTGCCAGATCCTTTATCAGCAACTCCCATTCAAATAAGCTAGACACTGTAGGTTATCAAGCCAACCATCCATATGAAGAGGTGGCATATCCTCCCTTTAAAGATATCTCATTGTTGCTAGATAGCACACATTGTGGTAGGGAGGGAGGCTACCACCAGCAGTTACAGCTTCAAGGACATAGGGAGTGATGCTTCCCATCAACCTATTTGGAGAGTCTTCATGAATCATCACTGGCTTCCTTTAAAGAACCATATATTGGAGACCTATTATCAGACAAAAAGCTAAATAATATTTTAAAAATACATTTCAAAAATACAACCCCCCAGTAGAATACTCCTCCCAGAAAATTTTGTTCAATTTATTTTTATTGTGATGCTGGGGAAGGACCTAACTTGTCTTAATCATTCCTGCTCATTTTGATATGTTTTGCGATCCTGGTATTCTTTGCAAATTGGCCTAGGAAATTAATTCCTAGAAAAATGCTAGAGTGAGCCTTTTAATAAATAATTGGAAGATTTTTTTGCTACAGACTCAGAAAACAAAAACAAACCCCCCCCACCATACAACACTTTGTTTTACAGTTCAGATTCTTTCTGTTCATCACATTCTCCTACTTTTGGCAAGGCAAATTTTTCTTCTATTGCTTATTATCTGATTCTTTTGATTAGAGGTGATTGTACATAGGACTAGCAACAAAACAACTCTTTTATTTTGTGTGGCCTCTCCTAAATATGTCCTTAGTTCTGCCACGTTTCCAGTGCAAATTCCCACTCCCACCACCATATTGGATTGTTACATTCTGATTGAAAGAAAATGATATTCTGTTAGTTGTTTCCAGCAGCATCTATGTATTGCCTGATAACTTGATGCTTCTACAAGAATATAAAGCAACAGCTTTCCTCACTTTTTTAAAGCTGACGTTAAAGGGATAAAGTCACAAATTTATCCAGTAGTAAGAATTCTAATATGCAAATGTTTATGGCTTTCAAGTTTTTATATTGATGAAATAAGCTGTGCGTGTGAGTGAAGGTTCTTTTTGCCAAAGTATTATCCTGGATACTTCCCCTTCTTAAACAATTGCTTTTATGCTCATATTTTTTCAGAAAAGGTAATGTATTTTTGCTTCTTGCACATTGGCTTTATGCAACTTTAAAAAAAAAATTAGCAAGAAAGGAAATCTACCTTTTGCACTATATTCTTTTCTTTCCTCCTGTATTTTTTTTCTTTTGTTACTGCAGCAGTATTCTGCTATATTATAGCCAGCTGACTCTATATTATGACTGTATTAACATAGCAGCACTGGGCTATTTTGATATCTCCTTCTCATCTCCCTCAAGTTGCCCAGAAAGCTCTCTGTAAAATATATTAGGCTGTGGCTTGCAAAAGACTTCTCTGAAGCAGAAGTACTACATGAAAGAGTGATTGATCGTAGTTGCCTTCCCACCTTCAGAGGATGTTTGCTTTCAACTGTGGTTCAGCTTTGCAGTTCCCTCTGTATTACCCTCTTACCGTACTTAATTTTGTGAAGCATTGCTGAGGGATCAAAGATTTCCCATCTTACTTTGTTCTCAGTATGAGCTGTTACTAATGACAAATGATTTGGAGGCGGTGAATCGAGAAGGACACAGATGACAAATCCACACCGTTGCTAAAGTGCACTGCCCTGCGATGTCTGATCAGCAGTTTCATATCACCTATGTTGAGAAATAATTCAATCAGATAAAAACAAAATGATGGAATAAGCAAGAATTAGGAATTAAAGGAGTCTTACATTGACAAGGATTTATTTTTATAAATAGCAAGGCTTAAGGGCTGAAACTGGCTCCTCAGTGAAGTGGCTGGTTCAAAACCCTTTCCTCTTTTTTTAGATGATTAATGAAAATACTTTCCATTAAACTGGATCTTTTCTATGAATGATTTTTTAAATGAGATTACAGTGAAACACAGTATTGTACTGTATTGTTAAGATAAAGAGTGAGCTAAACCTCCAACTCCCCCCTTTCCTTTGCATTTTTAAAATCACTTGCCATTTAAAAATCAGTTGGTCAAAGAACAGATCTAGGAATACAGTAATATTAGAACACTCACTTCAGAGTGTCTTACAATATCAACCTGGTAAATATGCATTTGGAGCATCTGTTTCTTTTTTCTCACTTTAAGACCTACCTGTCTACAGAAAGATGAAAGACTTAACTCCTGTATAGTTCAAAGATTTGTTTCCTGCAAATAGTCAAACAAATGAGCTCTCTCTAAAATTTGGAAAAATTCTAGACTGACACTAAATGGCACCATTGTACACCTGTATCTCTGCTACCATCTAGTGATCACCCAGATTTTTGCAGCCTCGCAAGTAGCTATAACTTTTTTTGTTAGTCTTGCCCTCACCCTGTTTGTTTAGTTATATATTTCTTCCTTCAGTTTTTAAGGCCACTCTCTCACCAGGTGATCTGGACAGCTTGTGCAGAATTAAACATGTAATAGTACAAAACAACACATCCATAAAAGCATATTGTGCCTCGGACAATGAACTCCAACCACACACCTAGGCAGTTTCATGCTGCATTCTGGGGGAAAAGAACCAGGCCTTCTAGATCCTATGAAAGTCTGGCAGGATCATGGTTGTCTGGATTTTGGAATGGAGCAATGCAGGCACAACTGAGGCATTTTCTATCAAGGTTATAAGGTTTATGATATGAATCAGC